CAGGATACATCAGTCTAGGTTGGAGGTTGTTTTCTTTTAAGACTTGAAATACTACACTCTAGGCTCCCCTTGACTTGAGCATTTGTGTTGAAAAGTCTGCTGTGATTCTGATGGGCTTTGTTTTGCATGTGATTTGTTTGTTTTCTCTAAGCTCTTGCAGTATTTTGTACTACTGCTGGGTTTCTGGGATCGTCATTATTATATGTCTAGGTGTAGATCTTATTTTATTATAACTAGTTGGAATCCTATATGCCTTCCTTATCTGTATGTCAAGTTCTTTTGCTCCATTTGGGAAGTTTTCTATCATTAATTCTGTGTAGTTTTTTCATGTCATTTTTACTTTCTCCTGTTTTTTTTGTGGACTCCTACTAATCTTATGTTATTCTTCTTTGTGTCATCTAGGAGCTGTTGTTTCTCATGGTCCCTTACTATTTTTAAGAGATCTCTCTTCATGGTCACTGACCACCATCCTGTCTTCTATATCTGATATTCTGTCTTCAGTTTGGGTTAGTCTGCTATCCATATTTTTAAGAGTTTTTAATCTCCTGGATATCAGTTTGAATATGTTTCATGGATTGTATTTCTTTCTCATGTTTGGACTTCATGGTTTCCATTTCTGCCCTATGCTGAGAATTTATGGCTTTCATCATTGTCCTGAACTGACCTATTGTTTTATCTGTTTATTTTCTAGAGTCTCTAATCAAGCCTTTTATCTGGGAAAGTATTTATGGTTTGAATATTTCTTTTTGTTTGTTTGGTTGGTAATGGGTATCTAACTCAGGACCTTCCACTTGTGAGGCAGGCAGCAGAAACATTGAGCTAAATCCCCAATGTTTTGAGTATTTCTAGAGCCTCATTCAGCTGGTTTTGTATTTTGTTTTGTTTTTTACTTTCTGTGCTATCAGTTCAGATTGTCCAGGTGGTTGATCATCAGACTTTTCCATCTCATTTTCACCAGAATTTGCCTTTGGTAAGCTGGAAGACTTTGTCTTGTTTAAATATCTTTTCATTTCTACTACTGTTGTTGGTATAGTCTTTGGTTTAATTCCTGTGTTAAAATTTAGATATTACTTATTTTAAGTATCAAATTTTCTATTATTTCTTTTGTGTAATATTTTGCTGAAGTTTCTACCAAAGTATTCATATTTTTCATTTTATTCCTCAATTCTAAAATTTTGTAAGTTCTTTATGAGCTTCATTTTTAATGAAATTTAATGAATTTTAATGGTATTTCCTTTAGTAGGATACCTGTCTTTTCTTACACCTTATTGAAATTTTTTACAAAGATTATCTTATTTTCTTGTCAAGCAATTTTTAAATTTGAATTATTAGCTGGAGCAGTTTTTATTTTTTATGGTATCATATATAACCTGTTCCTTAGGATCCATGTAGATTTATTGGTGTCTGTGCATTTGAAAATGAAAATATCTCTTCAAATCTTTACAGACTTCTTTTTCTTTCAGGTGAACACCTTCTCCCTGTCCAATTTCAGGAATTTTGGGGGGATTATGTTAGAGCAGGATTTGAGGTAGATCATTTGGCTGCTGATTTTTTTCATTAGGGTTTGCACTGGGATCTATCTTCAGGGAATCTAAAAGACCTAGGTTTGTGTGGCCTCTGAGTGAACAAGACTGCATAAAGAACCTTGTTCAGTAAGGCTGGTGTTGGTACATGGGTCCACCCATTTAGGGTCTGCAATTGGGTTTTCAGTTAACATGCTTATTACAAGGTAGATAGGTGTGGCTCTTTCTGGGTCACTGGACAGATTTTTGAGTGGGAAGATCTCAGGGTGGCCAGGAATAGCTTCTGGTAGAGTGGAGCTGGATTTGAATCACACAGCTACTATTAGATTTAAACACCAAATTTGAGGATTCTGTCTTCAGAATGCAGAAAAGCATGTCTAGCTGGATGATGTACAGTATGATCCCTCCCATATCTTTGGCAGTTGTCCTCATTCTGTTGCCTGATTTGACCTGGTTTGATGTAGTTGTTCTAGCTTTTCTTTAATTAGCATTACATATTTTTCTCCATTCCTTTACTTTGGATCAATGTGAGCTTCCACATTTAAAGCTGAGTTTCTTGGAGAGAGAAAAAAAATTTGTACTCAAGTTATTCTGTGAATCAATACAGAAATGACCTGTGTTCATATCATCCACATATATCTCTATTGTAATCCTCTCCCATAAATTCAAAATGTAATGTCAAGCCTCCCTTCATTCTCTTGATTTAAAATTAGATTAATTTTATCACTCATGTATGAGGTCAGTAATATATTTGTTTATGAATAATGACTGAATTACTATAAACAAAATTTTTAGGAAGTCACCTACTATATAGTAAATAACAAATCCCACATTCTATATGCTCTGGAGACACCTCAAGTTTGATACATCCTGAATTCCATCCATCCTTTCCCAGTTATATTATTCATAGTGAATTCTGAATCTCAGTTGGTCACATCCTCATCCACACTGACACCAGACTCCACACAAATGGGTTGTTACTGAATTCTTTCCTGGTCTCTATAACCAATAAATGATTTGCTAATAAAAGTCTTGCTAATTTTGTGTTCCATGTTTTTCTTTAATAAATCACATCTCCATTCTTAATACCACTTAGGTTTCATTGTAATGCTCTAGTATACTCATTAACTTTCTAACAAGCTTCCCTGACCCATTGTAGCCTTCCTCAATAGTATTTCTGTGGATATGTCCCTATGATCTGCAAAAGTCAAGAATTGAGCCTGTTATTCTCCTTAATACTGACTGTTTTTTTCTTTCCAGTAACTCCCACACTCTTAGTAAAAGTAATAACTAATTTGCATAGGATGAAAGGGACCTCATGATCTAGTCTTTCTAAAAACTTTAAATGGAAGCCCTGCCACTTATTTTTATATCAGATGCCTTTGACCCATTTTTGTGTATGTCTTTATCATTTGACACTTGGTGCTTATTTACAAATATGTTACATCTTACACTATATCCTCCATCTTCTGTACAGCTCTGACTGCTTCTCAAACCTTGTTGATTTCAGATCACCCTCTATTTTCTTGTAACAGAACTTTTATACAACATTTTATACACAAATAGAAGCTCCAGACAATACTTAGATGGCCTCAATGTCTTAATGAATGTAGAATATATGGAATAATGTAGGAATTATTCTAAATACAAATAAGTTATTTTCCTCGTACTTATACACACATCACTCACTCTACTTTCTTTTCCAGTATATGAGAAACATATTTTTATTTGTCAGGGTAATGGAATTCATATATTGTCTAGGAAAGTTCACAATCAGGCTAACTTATCAAGATTTCCTCTTCTGAGGATTTATGCAGTGAGAATGTAAAATCAGAGAATGCAGAGATGCAATACCACTCCAGCAATTATAACTTGATACAACAGTGGAATGTGGTCATTAATCATACAAACATTTTATAGAAATAAGACCAATCACATAAAGCTAAACAAAACAAAAATCCAAAAAGAAAGAAAGCCAAGAGGCCTAGGAAGAAAAACAGAGCTCAGTGAAAAGCAGCCAATTAGAGATAACAGTCTCATTTTTGGAAGAAATTTTTTGGAGGGTGGTTTGAGCCTTCTTTTTGCAACTAGAGTCATTTGCACAACTATTTCAGAACATTTTTCTAAGGTTCATCAGTTTTCAATGAACTTTTGTAATTATTTCATCTCGAAAGCACACTGGCATTTTTCAGAGTTGAAGTTGGGATATTTGGTCTTTTTCTTTTAATCACAGCTGTAATAGAATAAGTGCAAAAAGACAACTTCTATTAAATTTAGAATTGGGTCTGTATGTGTGGGGAGAGAAATAACATTGAATTGGTTTTGAAAATACAGCAGCTTGTGAGCTTCTATCACTATCATGCTGGTGTCACTGAGATTCTTCAAAACACCAAAGGTGAGATAGAGAATTTTTCTCTGTATCCAGTGCATTCTATCAAAGGAGGTATACTAAACTACATAATAATTTTAAGTGAGATTTACTTTGGCTTTTGCATACTGTACTTCTTGAAATATGTGGTAGCACCTTAATTATACTTGTATGTAAATTATAATAGCTATCATTATTTTAGCACTAATGTGCTCATTCTTATTCTGATCAAATGAAAGATCAATAAATATTTTTTAAAACTTTCAGGGAGACATGATTACATATTCAGATGTAATAATAACAATTCAACAAATGTGATAAAACCAACTATCAATGGAGCCCAAAACATTGTTTAATACAGATGAACTTTAACAACAGACAGAAAGCATTGCTTGGAGCCAAGCTACTAACTTTTAGGTAACTGAGAAGGAACCTCGCCAACTCTCAGGTACTTTGACTTATTTTATGTAAAATTGGAGTCCTTAAGGATGAAGCAGAATTTAACAGAAAACATCAGTTTATATAAACATAAAAAAGCATGATTCACAGATGGATTTATTCTGATCTATTTAAATACTATCATCCAATATGTCCTTTTAGAAAAGTCAGCCAAGACCATGGGAAGAGAAGAGATGAAATGTCATGTGTGTCCTCAGGAAGAATAAAGCTAATTGACCCACAAGTGGTGGAGCCATGATTGTGGACTTATCACCATAGTAACTTAACAAATAGGTTAGCCAGACACAGCTGCTGAGCACATACTGACACCCCCATTCTCTTCCATGATTATTCAGATCCTAATTTAATAGCAAGCACACATTCTGTGTTATTCTGCCAACTTCACAGTGTCTCAAACTCCTAACATTGTACAGACCAGGCCATTCAGAATACATCACTCCTTCCTCGGTTTTCAAAATATTAAACATAAAAAAAAATGATTAAAAGAGCTCTCTATCCCATAAGTGGTCTATGGATTATATAAAAATTTTAATGTTAGTATATAATCTTATATTACTCATTGTCATTTAAAACAGTAGAAACTGGTTTTTAGGAATGACAGAGAATAGCAAAGAAAGAAACTATATAAGAAGTTGTCCTGTCTATATGCTGCTCATGAACTGACTTAAATGAGTGGAACCCTTCAGCAGTGGTTGGAACATCGTGGAAACTTTCTGGGGATAAAAGCCATGCTTCTTGGTCATGGCACAGGAGCAAGAAGCCTCTCAAGGAATATTTGATTCTTTAAGGTCACGGTGAGGTCAGCCAAGCTGTAACAATGGTGGACATAGTGGGATGATTGGAGTCTGGATGGTCACCAAAAGAAACAATGATTTGTTTATCTTGAAAGTTGTTGTTAGCATACACCAATTTCACAAAATATATATACAAAATGGCAGTGAATTAAGAGCTGAAAAACAGAATTTGCAGTTTCATGGTGCTTGAAGTTGAAGACCTGGTAAAGCTGAACTCAGCCTCCTTCTGGGTCATACTCACATAGGTCATGTAAGTGGACCAGTCTGTCCACAGCTGGGTCAGGTGTGTGGCAGCATGGAGGCTGCCAGCACATGTGTAGGCTCACCCTGGTGAAAGCAGGGCCATGGATTTCTTCAATATGGCTTCTGGTGCATACTGATTAGTTACTTCTTCATTTATGCAGCAAACACAGGAAAGAACTCCTGTTCCCTAGCAACAAGCAAAGCCAAAAGGAAACATGAGGATATTTCTATCCCAGTGCCCTTCCATACACAAAGCTTTATATACCATCAACAATTATAAAGAGTGCAAAGAAATTTGAAGCTTGAAGATGAGATTTTTTTTTAATGACAAAATTGTTTTCTCATTCCAGACTTGGAGCTAGTAAACAAGACTTTAGAAATAATTATTGTAAATATAAATGAGCATTTATCGGAGTAAATAAACAGCATAGTAAATAGACAAGGTGAACATGCAGCAAACTGCAATTTAGGAGAAAGAACCAAAGGAATTTCTAGATCACAAAATTGTGAGAATGATATTTTAGATATATTGGGTAGACTTAAAAATAGAATGGAGAAACCTCAAGAAAGATTTTAAAATATATGCTCAAAATAAAAATAAATTAATAAAAGCTGACTAGCACATCAGTATCTATGCATGTAATCAGATCACAAAAGAAGAGGAGAGAGAACAAAGAGGAAATCATAAGAAGAAAAAGCAAAACTGGGCTCCAGTCCAGTTCAAATTAAATGAAAAGGAACATCTATGTATAAGACACTCAACAATTCCATATGGTATATTTACAAATAAATCCACACTTATGCACAGCATAACCTGTTATAAAAAAAATGAGAAGAAAATCCTAAAGCCTAAAAAGTGTTGAAAGAAAAAAAATCCGTTAACTTAAGCTCTATTATCCAAGCAATTATCCTGCAAAAGTGAAGGAATAAAATCATTTTCAAATAATATATGCTGCAATTATTCATTTTCAGTGGACATGCATTCTAAGAAATGGTTAAGATAATTCCTCAGGCTGGAGAATTATAACAGGCAGAAATCAGGACTCTTTAGAAACAACTTCAAAACTGATAAAAATATACATTAGCATAAGACCATTTTTATTAAACTATTTTATAAGCAAATCCACTTCAAAACAAAAACTAAAGCATTAAACTCTTGGGTTTATGCCATATATAGCAATAAAATATGCGGAAACTCTGCAGCATGTTATGTGACAACTAAGTTATGATATTAATGTAAGATTGATCATGAATAATCTCAATGTAGTCATATTAACTTCTAGAAAATAATTCTCAGGGCATATCTCCCCAAATATGCCCCCTTTCCCCACTCTCATGTTACCCAAGCAAAATCACTGTGAATTTTACATTAATCATTCCCCCTTTTTAAATAACTGTTCTGCCTTTTCAGCAAATTGTTCCTTAGTGGGTGTTTTACCCAGGTAAACAGGGATGCCCTGCGCATATTTTCTGGAACTCCCTTCTACTGTCTGGGGATCAGGGTCACCTACTTCACTGACTTTTGCTGAAGTTAACATGGTACTCAGTGAGGGTTCTTTTCTGACCTGTGATGTGCTTGATGGCGTTTGAGGTGGCTCAAGTCGTTCTCACTGGTCTGCCACTTGGCAAGCTCCCACAGGTGTCTTCCTGTGAACCAGAACAGAAATTCATCCCAAGTAATGTTTTTGACAGTAGAATTTGACCCATTAGTTAATCACCAATCAGTTTCATAGATGTAGAGATTCCCTTTCTTAAGAATCTAATTTCAAAAGACAGGAAAGGAAAGAAAGATTGCAGAGAGGAGGAGAGAAGAGAGAATAGGAAAAATAAAGCCTACCAAAAGAAAATTGCACCGAGTAAGAGTAAATATTCTTTGAGAAACTTTGTCATTCTAAACATACAGTGAACAATCAAGTTACTACCAGCCTCACATATGAACACCTTGGGTTATGACCAGAATTTTAGTTATAACTTATGACCAAAGTCTTAAGTTATGACACAAATGCTGGCCGCTTGTGCAGTTGTAAACAAAGACTCATGATGTAAGAGTCAGTCTGAGCCCAGATGTGCATGTTTGTGGATGAGATTTCAGTCAGTACTTTATTTAATTGCTACAATTACTGCTATCAAAACAGCCCCCCAAAAGCTAGAAAAGAAACTAAAGAAGCAAGGGAAGGTAAAGAAAGCAGTCAGAATGAAAAACAAGGAAGAAACTGTAGAGAAATATGAGAGTGGTGTTCATGTGACTGAACTCACTAACATGTACAGTGTATCAAAATCCACCATCTTGACAATCTTACAGACAAATGATTTATATGAGGAAGCTAATGTTGCTAAAGGTGTTAACCTGAATGAGCAAGTCATGATCAACATTAGATGAGGTAGAAAGGCTGTTAGTAGAGTGGGTAAACAAAAGGCAGGTGGTAGGCAATAGCCTATCTGAATTTATAATGTGTAAAAAAGCTAGAGCTACAAATAAAAATCTCCTAAAGGATAATCCATCAATGAGTAATAATGTTGAATCATTTCATGCCAGTAAGGGATGGTATCACAATTTTAGAGTGAGAACTGGGGTTCGTAGCATAACTAGACATGGTGAAGCAGCCAGTGTTAATAAAAGGGCTGCTGAAAATTACATACAGCTCTTTGAAACAAAGACACAAAGAAATATCTCTTGCCACCAAATTCTCAAATGTGATGAAACTGGCCTTTTTTAGAAGAAAATGCCCAGGAGAACATATATTACCCAGGAAGAGAAGATGACTGGCCATAAGCCTGTGAAGGATAGGCTAACCTTATTGCTATGTGCCAATGCAAATGGTCACCTGAAGATAAAGCCTCTCTTGATTTATAACTCTGAGACCCCTAGAGTGTTAAAAAAACATAAAGTCATGAAGAATAGGCTTGGGGTCATGTGGAGATCTAACACAAAAGCCTGGATAATGAGGGTACTCTTTCTTGAGTAGATCGGGGAGGACAAGATACTTCTTAGTGTTTTGCAATCAAAGCACTTTGTGTGGGGACTTTAGAGATCCTTATGTTGTAGACACAGAAATGCAATTTTCAAAAGAATTATAATTTGGAGGAGTGGAGAAAGCTACTCACTTAACTCAAATACTTGACCAGAGGAGACTAAGTATATATTCTTGGTGCTGCTCCTGAAACAGGCAGATGTATCTGCTGTCACAGTGGCCACTCACAAGGCTCTTGTTTCTGTGAAGATAAGTCTGTTCTGCTCCCACATCCACAGTGACCCAGGCAGATGAATTCTAAAAGCATAAGATAGGCCTAAATGAAATATCTGAAAACTAGCTTCCTAGTGACCAACCCATGTTTGTTTTCATTCTTCTGTGCAATCACAAACAGCCACCAACACGTAAGTCAGGAGAATATCCCAGGAGGGTGGCAGAGGTCTCTGAGGGAGGTCTAGGGTTGGCCAGATCCTTGTTCTGGGGCTAGTTCCTATCCAGATGGCAACTGTGCCTCGGTGTAACCCAAAATAATATGTATGGTTCCACCTCTCCACTCTTCGGTTTTGTGATTCTGTCCTGTTTTAGCTATTGATGGTCCAGACCTTACCTTTGTTAGTGTGTCTGAAAACATATGGACATTTCTGGTCCTCCCAAAGTCATTTCTGATTCATCTGGCTAAAGCATGAATTTGTCTGAGTAAAAAATGTTTTTATGAAATGCTTTCTATCATAGATTCCATTAGACCATGAAGCAAACCTTTTCCTTGGACAGAAAATGCTATTGTTAAAGTTCTCCAAATCCTGGAATGCAAGCCATTCCCTCATACTTCTTTCCAATTATTTCCAATACATTCATTGAGAGGAGTGGTCTGCCATCTCCACTAACTGTGCCATGTGGGTGTTGGGTTGCTGACCCTTCCCCAGTCAGACCCTGCTTCCTCCCTGGCCACCTTGCATAGCTGTGAAGAAAGCCCCTGAGACACTGGAGTAGTCAGATAGGAAGGATCAGGCTTGTGAGGGATTTAGAGAGCTTAAGATGAGGAGGAAAGGGCATATCCCATCCAAATGGAGCTCCATACCACCTCGTGCTCAGAGAGTCTTCTAAATCAGGAAAGATAGTTAGGAAAAGTATGAGGGAAGAGTCTGACAACCAGAGGGAGCATCCTTTGGTCTTGCTGCTATCAGGCAGGCCTTGATAGAAATCCATGGAGGATATCGTCCATCTGAAAGGAAGTTTGCACCAGTCTGAAGGGTCTCAGAAATGGATCATGGAGCATTGGTCTAGTCTCAAAGGAACCTACAGAAAGTAGAACCATAGCATAATTTAGAATCAGACTTTTTAATTGAAAGCCCTCTGAAAATCAGGCCATCTAAAAATCTCTGCAAACTTGTTCAGGATTCTCAGTGTCTCTATTGCTGAGTAATTTCAGCGGTTTTTCCAATTTTTTTTCTCTTGACTATTAACACAATTACTCTGTGTTCTCAGGAGCTGTTGAGAGCAGCAGATGGGCCTGCATAGAGGACAAAATCCAAGGGCTCAGTCTCCTTAGGTTAGAAGCAGATGGAGGCCATCCTCTAAAGACAGGTGGACAATCAGCTACAATGGAAGGAATGTGTTAGGAATTTTCTTTGCCCTCTGAAGCAGGTTAGAATTAGGATTTGCATCTCTAACCATATACGTATGGCATCTGTTTCCTAGAGCAGGTACTGGTGTGCTTCATAATCATTTGATTGCATCTGGCACTACATTAACAGGTTTATTGATATCACTGTCTGGTCAAAACTGCTTATATCACTTTGAATAGGGAAGATAGATTACCAGAGAGTAGCTGTTGAGCCTAAGCTAGTCATGGACACACATGTTGTCAAATATCTTCATCTTTCCATATAGCCACCTGGCTGTCCACCTTGGGAAGTCACCTTGAGGACATGCTCCCATCTCTGAGACCTTTGCTTTCCCTGCCCAGCATGTTCAGGGACTCCAGTTTTGTTTTTGTTTTTTTGTTTTTTTGTTTTTTTGCCTCATCCCCTCCAGCCCAGCCCAGGAAAGTCTACTGGGAAGTAAAGACTTCTAAACTCAGAGATGAAAGCTGACAAGAATGTTCATGGTCATCCTACCTCTGAGCTGAGGTGATCTCAACTATAGGCACCTCAAGGCCAAGCATGCTAAGATGAATCTCTCACATGGTCACTGCCGCTCTGAAGAGATTGTCCTGAGACTGCTCCTTGGTAGGCCACTGGGTGATGTCCAGACCCAGGAGCAGGATGGCCTCACCCAGTGCCTGGGATCTGAGTGCTCTGGGTTCTCTGCTATGGCAGTGAGCTGCAGTGACCTGACAGAAGTGTCTACCCACAGGGTGAGGCAGGATCCCAGAAGGAGCAGATAATGTGAGGGCCAGGGAAGGCAAGGAGGGCATTTTACAGAGAAAGAAGAAAAGTGGGGAAAGTCAGGCACCCTAGGCAGGGTGGAAGTGAGTCTCCAGTGAGAGTGGCCTGGCTTGGATGGAAACCAAGTGGGAGAGGAGGGTGTCCAGGCAGAAGTGGCCTGGTTCAGGGTATCAGAGCCTTTGGAAAATATAGGTTTTCAGGCAGGCAAAGGGAGGTGCCATGTAGGGTGTATGTATCTATGTATGGATGTCCAGGGCACACATGGTGGCACAGAGCACAAGAGCTGGCAGGCCAGAATGGTGAGGAGGGGACCTGTAGGCAGGCTGAAGCTCCACTGGTACTGGGCTTCTTCAAGGTGAGGCGACCCACAGCCTACAGAGTCCTCTTTATTACAGAAGTGACTCTTACCGATGCGGCCAGGACAAGTGATGGGCATGTCTGTACACAGAGACCAGGCCATCATGTCTCCACCCAAAATGTGGGGAATCCTTGCTCCTGAGCTCCACTGGGTTATGCTTTTGTCAGGCCTGCATCACAGCCCAACTCCTCCCACTGACAATCCCACTCCCTCCCTCCTTTGTTCCAAAAAGAATGACATCTAACTTTCATTCTCCAAAGCCAAAGGTTTAGCCCTGTCCATGCAGTGAGGTGTGGGGAGGGTCAGCACCTGGTGGGGAGAAAAAGGTGATCTAGTGTGAGAGGTTATCCATGTGGCAGTGCCACCCTGAGCAGCATGTCACAGGGCAAGCAGGATACAAGGGGCAAGTCCCTGTTGAATGACAGAGAAAAATTTCACAAATATGACACACAAAAAATATGGAAAGACAATGGACACTATGTGCTGGATTTTACTGCCAAATGTCTGTGTGAATTTAGGGAGAAAGTGTGTATGCACACACACCTCTGTAAATTCTTCACTGAAAAAATTTCAGCATGGTAACTCACCAGCAGCCCTAGTAAAGTTAGCTCCTGAACATGACTGCTTAGCACCTTTCTCATGTAAAACAGTGCTTCTAGAAAGGTTGGTAGATCCCAGAGATGAGGATAAAAGAGGGCAAGGTCAGACTGGGAATCTCTCCTTTGCTGGAGCAAGAGCCTACTTATAGGATGAAGAAAATGTATGATCAAAACCAGGATGCCCATTCCAGGCCAGGGTGCAACAGCAGGGACCAGCCATCACCTCCAATCTGATTAAAAAAAAATCACACATTGTATGAAAGTGTCCTGTTAAAGACCCTGAAAATCAGGCAGTTAAGGAGAAGGGAGTTGGAAAGAAAAAAATGTGAACATATGGCATCCCACACACATCCTGTCCAGACAGGATCAAGACGATGCAGTGGATATGGCCAGGCAGCACCCCAAAGTTTTCCCAGAGATGAGTGGGAGCAGGGGCAGCCTGGAAGGAGGAGCAGAAGGAGGAGGAGGAGGTGGAGGGTGAAATGTATAGGAAAGGAGTGCCAAGGAGGAGACTGGTGCACCAGAGATCCTTGGAGATGGGCAGAGGGTCTAGCTTAAGCATCCTCTGAGCACTCACTAGGTGAACTTTCTGAAACATTTAGAAGGAGCCAGAGTGAGCCACGATGAAACCTTTAGGATTACAAAAATATCTAAAGTAAAAATAATGATTTCATATAGAGTTTACTAAAATGTACAAGTAAAATGCATGACAACACCAGTACAAATTACAGATGGTTAAAAAATGAAAGAGCGATGCTGTTAATTTCTTCTTTGTAAAGTGGTTTGATATCAAATGAAAATAGACTGTTTTAAGCTTCAGGTGTACAAAATATACCCCAAAAAACCATAAGATAGCACAATACATTTTTAAAAAGGAAAGAACAAACAGATGAGATGATGAAAAATAAATATTACTAAGGTAGCAAATCTGTTTCTGCCCTATATATAATCACAACAAATTAAATGATGTCAATATATAAATTAAAAGGAAAAATTGTCAGATATATAAATAAATTTTAGAAAGCTAGATCCAACCATAGGCTGCCTATAAGAAATTTACTTTAAATAAAATAACACAAATGCACTGAATGTAAAAAGATGAATGTAGACCATGAATATATTTGTTAATGTATTTATTAATATATTTATGGTCTATATTCATCTTTTTACATATAATGCATTTGTGTTATTACACCAGACACTATCTCAAATGGAAAAGAGGAAAAAAATTGGAAAATGTTTTGAATTGAATGAAAACATCACATATCAAAATCTGCCAGATACATTGATGGGAACAAATCTAGAGCACTAACTGCCTAATAAAAAATAGGACTTACATCATTAACTTACACTTCCACATAAAGCATCTAGAACAAATGAAGCTGAAAGTATGATATGTAAAAAAGTAAAGATCCAAGTAGAAATCAATGAAATAGAAGTCAGTAATAAAAATAACAGAAAGATTAATGATTCAGAAAGCTAAACTGGTCAGGAAATGAAGAGAAAAGAAAGTCTTTCTCCCAGTACAGGGAGCAATAGAGCACCAGGGTTCTACAAATACAAAATAGATAACAGAAGGATATTAGAACTGATTTATGCCAATAAATCAGTAACTCCAGTGAAATATAAAACGACACTCCAAAACAAAGCTATATAGTGATCACATTCATCATAGGGAATTTGTACTTTTATGTGGTGTATCATTATGTAAATATTAATTGTACCAATAAAATTTAAAAAATAAAAAAGAATAGAGCTACCAAAGTTCACTCAGGAAGAGATAACAAACTAAAGATATTAAATTTATATGTAAAACTTTCCTCAAAGAAAAATCCAGGCCCTGATAATGTCACTGGTAAATTAAACTAAGCACATTGGAGAGAAGCTACAGCAACCTCATGCAGATCCTTGTGAGATCTTCCAAGGAGTGAGTGATGCCTTCAGTCCATCCTA